GACCTCCTCCCTGGGAGATGGACAACAGAAAAATGGGTGAAGCGATACCTTGGACAGGGCAAGATATGACAAAATAATTTATAAATCATCAAGGGTTCACGAGGGAGGGAGGAATGGGGAGGGAGCGGTGAAAATGAGGAGCTGATGCCAGGGGCTTAAGTGAGAGCAAATGTTTTGAGAATGATGAGGGCAATGAATGTAAAAATGTGCTTTAAACAATTCATGTATGTATGGATTGTGATAAGAGTTGTATGAGCCCCTAATAAAATGATTTAAAAAAAAGAAAGAATTTTCTTGTGTAAATATTAACTCAACTTTGCTCACCATTTACTCTGCTATACACTTGAATTTTCAGTGTTGGCTAAAATCGGTCTACTTTTCTAAAGAGTTTTGAAGGAATGTGAAATGAATTCCGTACCAGATAGCTATCAACCTCCTTTTACATTCTAGAGGCCATGCTTCCACATTTTCACCACCAGAGGTCATTTCTAGGAACACGCTGGGTGTGCTGCATCCAGTGACTAGATGAGGGGGCTTCAAAAAGTTTGTGGAATAATTCCATTACCTTTTCATGAAAATTTTGAAGCCCCTTCATATTTCCAGACTTTAGGTTATTTCTTGTGTCTTGAAGGTCGTTTTTAAAAATCTTTGTATTGTGCAGATAAGAGCATGCGTCAAAAAATATTGCTGCTCATGTTCTAGGTCACTCATGCACACATTTATTCTAAACAAAATATGTTTAAACACATCTGTGATCAGTGGATGGCTGCAGACCAGATTTCTTAGTAATACTTGATCAACCTTTGGTCCAGTCTCATTAGAGTGCTGAAGAAATAGTGTAGTCATCACAGTAACTTCTGAGGGATCTGGTAGAGCAGTTAAAATTGAGACAGCAAAGTCAGTTCAGAAAGTTAAGGAGACTGTTTTTAGGGACTGAAAAAAGGGGTAATCTGGATAGATTTTCTGAAGGACACAAGGCAATCATGGGAGCGGATGATGGAGAAGTTTTAAGAATATTGAAAACTGCATTGATGAGCAATAAACCAGGAAAGTGGTGACAAGAATTTGTTTTCCCCATAATAATAATATGCTTGCTCATTCTTTGAAGATTCTTGGCTTTGTCAAAATAATTTCATTGGGAACTTTTACTTCATCTATTCTTTGGCCTTCATCTTGCCTGTTCAGACGTTGTTGTTCCCCAAACACCTGCTTCACCTTGATTTTCTATAGGAAAAGCTCAATTTCTCAGAAAGGGTTTAATACTTTATACTTTGGATAAGGCTGGATATTAGTTTCTTCAGTAACTAACAACTGCTTTTCTCTTAATTTATCCTCTCTTTTAAAAATAAAACAGTCAATTTCCATCAGTAAATATATAGTTAATGTTTAACCTATTAGAAGGTAAGTAGTGTGCTAATCACAGAGAAATACAATGTCCTCAAACTACTGACAATCCAGGGAGGAAGCTGGGCAAGTAGACTGTCGAACTACAGCACTATGGAATAAAGTGTTAGTAAGGAGTAAGCTCAACCTTTGTGTGGCAAAGGCAGATGACCACTTAGCTACTACCCGAAAGCTTGCCGGTTCGAGTTCACCAAGAAGTGACTCAGAAGAAAAGCCTAATCATCTACTGCCAAAAGGACCTGGTCATTGAAGATCTTATGCACAGTTTTACTCTGACATACATGACGTGGCCGTAAGTCAGAGTTGACGTCATGGAAGCTGAAAAAGCTAGAAGAAATACATTCTGGGTTTGATGAAAGCAGAAGGAGGAACATACAGCATTGCCTTGCGAGTCTCAGGTGAGGTTTCCCAAAGGGAGTACTGTTATCTTAGTGCAATTGAAAGACAAATGGAGAACTAACCAAGATAAAGTGGGCTGGAGTATGGACACTGGTGGTGGGGTTGGGGTGAGAGTCCAAGGGAGAATTTCTTCAGCCAGGAACACAGGATGGGCAGAGGCATCGAGAGGAGAATTCTGAGAATTCATGAATTCAGCAAACCTTCGCCTTTATATTTTGCTCATTCCCTTACCTAATCCGACATTGTCAATGGTCCCCTTTATTTGAAATATCCACACTTAAATTGCTAAAAGCATGAGTGACAGCCGAGAGAAGTCAAAATTTTGAAACATAATAATCTAAAAGTGCATAATATTTTCATTCTTTCTTTAGCTGTCATCTGTATTTGAGGCTGTTAAAAAAAAAAGAATTAAAGGGCAAAAATATTTCAACTGGAAACTGTTTTCCAATGGACTTGTCAGGACACCGCCATGCACCACACAGGCTTTTTTGGCAGGTCTCAGTAAACCGAGCTGGGGTCAGGATCCGGGGCCCTCCCACTTCTGCCATGTCTTTCCTGTGGCTTCTTCCTTCTTAGGATGTGCAAACTCCATCTGCCCCTGTGATTCTTAATCAGGGACTTTCTCTTCTGTCTCCCTCCTGTTTGGCTCTAGGTCCTTTCTCCCTCCCTTTTCCTTTTCATTTCCTCTCTCTCCCTCCCCCCAGCCCCCTGGTGTCTGTTGGCCAATGTAGGAATTTGATTAGAAGCCAAAGAATCAAAGCCAGCAGCAAAGGCTTTCTCCAGCTCTGTATGAATGAGCAGAGCTCTGTGGCTAGATGCAGTGTAGGTATGTACAGGCTGTCTCAGGCTCATGAGCAAGTTCCATTCCTATGCTTGTTTTTAAATCAAATTTGTACGTTAGGCTAAGCAATTGGGTGTGGTTTGTATCTACTGCTAAATACCAAATCATCAATTTGTCTTAGCATTTAGTGGGTTGTGTACATTTCTATGACTCAGAACATTAACGAAACAAGTTTTGCTATAATGATATAGTAAATAATAATAATGCTTTGATGCAAGTGGCAACATAGTGGTTGTTTGCGACTATAAGATATTGTGTGAGTCTCAAAATATTACTCTTATAGGCTTTATAGTAGTTGGTTCATAGTTTGTGATTATTCATAAGCAGACATTCATCACCCAGGGACTGCCTGCCTTTAGATTTGAGCTACTCCATTGCTTTACTAAGCCAAGCCCACAATGTAATCCCACCCCCTTTGCTAACATTCAGCATGTATATAAGACACATTCTACATACACCCACTGCTCTCATCTTCTCTCTCAGGTTACGGTCTGCTTGGAAGAGAACTGACTGGAGCCCCCAGTTTCTCTCACAGGCTCCTCTAATCAGGTTGTATGTGTTTATTACTATTGGCATGAATCCTCAGGCTTTAGATATAGAAAACATAGGATGTGTTATACATCACAAGTTGGTTTTTGTTTGTTTGTTTGTTTGTTTTCAGAGAAAATAGTCATGTAAAACATTCAAAGCCTTTAAAATTACATGTCACGTTAAAAACGTAGCTAAAAGAGCTCTCCCACAAAGCCATAATGTTGTAGCATCCTTGTAAATCCTGCACGCTGGATTATGCACAAGGAGCATCAGGAGAAACGAGTAGCGTGGACACTGGCTTCTAGGCTTTTGTGTTAGTTTTTTTTGAAACTAGCTCATGTGAGGCATTGTTTTGTGCTCATTCCTGTGCAATCGATTACAAGTGTTATTGAGGGCAAGGGCCCTTACCCTTGTAAATACAACTGTTCCGTTGAAGTGAGAGGTCAGGTCAATACAGTTTAAAGTCCTTGGTAATTACAAAAGGTTAATCATTTACAGAGTATCACTCCTTTGTCTGAGAATTCAGTGAAAACTAGACTCAAAAGAGACTCTCTATAAAACTTAAATTGAACAAATATTTCTGAGCATCTACTTTGTGAGAGATACTGTGCTGGGAGTTAGGGTACAATGATACGCCAAAGAATATTGTCTGGGAAAGAAAAAAAAGAATATTGTCTGTTTTCAGTCATTTAATCCAATTTCACACATTTCTGAAATTGGGTCAAATTCAAACTGCTGCCAGGATCTTTCCCCTGGCTTGTTTCCACACCATAAGTGTAAATAGAGCTTGAACCTAAAGACTTCTCTGTGTACATCCTGGAAATGTTTTCAAAAATTGCTTACCACATAAGGAAAAGAAGGGTGATTTGTCTAAATACAAATATATAAGATGCAAAAGAATGTAGGCTACAGATTATAGTGGAGGAAATGGGTTAAACACAAAACTGAATTAATTATAAAATGTATACTACATAAAGCAAATTATTAATGTGATCATCAATAAGGTTCATATGATTTAGTTAGTATCTATGTACACATATATTTATGTAAAAGGAAATTTTTCTCTAGAAAACAATTGCTATCAACATATCCTACTTGCGCTGTAGACCAATGAGTTGCTGATATTTACAGAATGATTCAGGAGCTGGAAAAAAAAGTGGAGATAAGAGACCAGTTCATTATTCCCCCTCCAATATTTGTTATCTGGTTACCTTCCCACTTCTGGTGACTCGTGATGATTCCCGGTGTGCTGCTCTCTCTTGCTTTCGTAGCCCAAAATTTCAGAATATATCATCAGACTATTGTTCCAAGGCGACTTGTACCTCCAACCTTTTGGCTAGTAACCGAGGAAGTTAATCATTGCACCCCCAAGGGCTCTTAAACATGTATAGGTTCTATTTAGAATGAAGAAGTTGATGCTTTTTCAGAATGCTTATCTAAGAAAGCATAGTTGATGGATTCACAGCTATCAAATCCGGGCCTGTGAAAAATAAAACTGGGCTATTAAACCCAAAGTGAAGCTTTGCTATTGTAATTTGTTTATGTTGGACTGCTAACTGAATGCGTGGAATCCACCAACAGTCCCTGGGGAGAAAGATGAGGCACTAGGCTTCCTTAAAGAGGTCCAGCCTCGGGAAGCCTGCAGAGCCGTCCTACCCTGTCTGATAGGATCACGACAAGCCATAGCTGACCCCTAGCAATGAGTTCTCCGTGTTTGACCAGAAAACAGCAAACAGTATCACCTTTGCATACAAGTGTAAGTTCTACTGTGCCCTGTAGGGTCACTATGAGCAGGCAACCCCTGTGCATCTGGGCCCACATGCTTTCCCAGTACTTAGCCCACAGTTTGAGAAGAAGATACACATGCTTTCAGAAAGCATTTTCTTCATGAGAGGAAGGGCAAAAGAGAGGAAGAAAATAAAGAAGTGGAAGAAAAAAGGAGGAAAGATCTTTCTGAAATTCATAAATCACTGTTTTTAATTTCTTGTTGTTGTCTCTGGACAATAATGGCCAACATACTCAGGAAACTGAAGTGCAGGGGAAGGGGAATGATAAAAAATAGAGCTGCTAGCTGATTAATCTATGTACTTGTTTTGAAACACTTGACTAATAGCAATTAGATGCAAAAAGATATTTTATTGTAAGATGTTTAGTTTGACTCCAAGACCATACATTAACTATGAAGGTGCAGATAGAATCCAGCCAGCTATTTAACGATAAACCAGCTACTCACAGTTGACTACAAGTTCAATTTTACAACCCTGGCTGACCGCCAAGAAAGCAGTTCACGTTCCTTAACAAACAAGGCATATTTCTGCTAAGCATCCAGTTTGTGAGAGTAATAGGAAGATTTGTAGAACCAGTTGACATGTAAAGATTAGCATATATAAATCCTTAGATAACAGTGTCAAACATGGAAAAGTTTGACATGATTGATTGTATGAACACCATACTTCTACATAGCGTTAAAAAGCTTAAAATTGTTATCGACATTAGACAGAAAAATTATCGATATTAGTAATATATATTCCAATAGTAAATTATTTTCTATAAATCAGTTAGTAAAAGGTAACACTCCTGAAGGACAAAAGGATGAAAATGATCAAAACAATAAATTTATGAAAGCAAAAACATATTAAAAAGTATAAGACTTCTCTAAAACACTTATTTAAATAATAAAAATAGTAACTCAGATGAGGAAATCTTGAAAATATACATGTCTCAGCCTATTGAGGGTGAGAGACTGTAGGCAATTCTATATAATGTGCAAATCAGTAAAAATATTTTAGCAATTTGCTAAACAATATGGTAGAGATTGTACATATGCATACCTCTGCACTCAATAATTTAATGGCTGCTGCAGAAAACAGTGTTCAAAGACTACTCAAAGATGATCAATTCCTGTTGCAACCAACAGATATTTCTATCATTGATTCAATGATATGGATAATATGGATATCTATATTATGCACTGCCTTAGAGATTTACCTCCTCAGAGACCCACAGGAGCAGTAACTGTGCCATAGAGGGTCACTACGACTCAAAATTGATTCAAGGGCAGTGAAATATATTTTATGATATAGCAGCTATAAAAATAAAAGCAATATCTATACTTTGAAAACAAATTTTGCTCACATAATGTAGTTTGGTTAAAAGTAAATAAAAGAATGAGTGCAACATAAAAGGTTATATCCTTTCATCATATTTGTTCAATCTATGTACTGAACAATAATCTGAGATTTTGGACTGGATGAAGAAGAATTTATGAAGCTAGACTATATGAAGAAGAAGAATCCTGGTACCAGGATTGCAGGAAGGTTTATTAACAATTTGCACTATACAGATTATACAATCTTGCTTGTATAATGGACTTGTGACGTGGACTTGAAGCATTTACTGATGGAGATCAAAGACTTCAGTTTTTAGTATACGTTACAACTCCATGTAAAGGAAACAGAAGTCCTCACAACTGGACCAATAGACAACATCATGATAAATGGAGAAAAGACTGAAAGAGTCCAGGATTTCATTTTATTTGAATCTACAATCAATGGTCATTGAAGCAGAAGTCAAGATATCAAATTATGTTCTCCATTTGGTAAATCTGATGTACAAGAACTGCTTAAATGTCAAAGAACAAAGATATCACATTAAGCACTATATGCATATCACACTATCCATATCACAGTAAGCACACATATGTATATGTGAAAGCTCGGCAACAATACGTAGAACTGGAGACTAGCTTATGAACTGAAATGATGGTGCTAGTAAAGGAAATCGAAAGTACCGTGAACTGCCAGTAGAACAAATAGGTCTATCTTGGAGGAAGTAAAACCAGAATACTCTTTAGAAATGAGGATAAATAGAGTTTAAATCGTACGTATTTTTGAATACTTTGGACATGTTATTGGGAAAAAAACAGTCCCTAGAGAAGAACATCATGCTTCTTAAAGCAGAGAATCAGCAAAAAAGAGGAAGACCATCCTAGAGATAGATCAGCACAGTAGTGCAACAATGGGCTCAAACGTAACGGTTGTGAGGTTGGCATAGGACATGTATTGTATATAACATCTGAAGGTGTTGGAGAAAAATCAAAGTCAAATAACAACAGCAACAGCAATTATTTTTGTATGCCCCATTAATTTTAATCTATAAATGAAAGGCTCTGTCGTTTTCATACATAATATATTTTATTATTTCTATCACTTATTTTTGCTTACTTAATCACTTTACTTTAAATACCCCTTCCTTAGTCTTTTATATATTAGACTTGTCTTCCTAATAAGATTATAGACTCATTATGTGCAAAAGGTAAGTCGTGTACTTCTTTTTTTCCAAAAGTTTTATTGGCATATAATTCATATATCATATAATCCAATAGTTTAATCACATCAAGAGTTGTACAAGCATCGCCAGAATCAGTTTTATGACATTTCCATTCCTGACCTCATTGCTTTGTTGCTATTAGGTGCTATTGAGTCTTCTCTGACCCTTAGAGACCCTACGCGGCTGAATTAAGTGATGCACGGTCCTGTGCCATCTTCACGATTGTTCCTATGCCTGAGCCCATTAATGCAGCCACTGTGTCCATCCATCTCATCAAGGGGATTCCTCTTTTTCACCTCTTTTTCTGGTACTCCTATTCTGCTCAAGACTATCCAGAGTTTGGTATGATCCACACCGACAAATGCCTTGGCTTAGTCAATAAAACACAAGTGAACATCTCTCTAGTGTTTTCTACTTTGAGCCACGATCCATCTTATATCAGCAATGATAAACCCTTCTTTCAAGTCCTCTCCTGAAAGCCTGAAATGCTAGCAGCTCCCTGTCAAAGCACTGCTGTAACCATTGTTGGGTGATCATCAGCAAAATTTTACTTGCATGTCATATCAATGATGTTTTCCCATAATTTGAGCATTCTTCTGAGTCACCTTTCTTTGGAATAGGTATACAACTAGGAATCTCTTCCAGTAGCTTTCTAACTCTGGGTCTTTGTAGATTTCAGTATAATAATTGACTGTCTTCTAGAGCTTCCCTTTGCAATTTTCTATTCATCCCTTTGACTTCACCATTTAATCCATTTGCCTTAGCTACTCTACTATTATAGCAAGTTTCAGAGTCTCTTCTGACATCCACTTTGATGTTTCTTTCTTTCCTGTTTTTTTAATGACATTTCTGCTTTATTTATGGGTGATGTTTTTGATGTCCTCCCACAGCTCATCGGGGCTTCTACCTTTAGGGCTCAATGTGGCGTGTGTTTTTGAAATGTTCTCAGAATTCAGATGGAATTGACTGACGGTCATATTTTAGCTATTATAGATTTGTTTTAATTTTCTTCAGCTTTAACCTGAACTTAGAGATGAGCAATTGAAGGTCTGTTCCACAGTCAGCTCCTGGCCTGGCTTTAGCTGCTGAATTGTCTCTTCTCAAAGATGTATCATTGTGAGTTCTGTGTACTCCACCAGAGATGTCCATGTGTATAGTCACTTTTTGTGTTGTTGAAAAGGGTATTTTCTGTGAACAAGTTGTTAGTCTTGCAAAATTGTATCATTGGATTCCCAGATTCATTTCTATTACTGGTCTGTATTTTCCAAGTACTGTTCTTTCCTCTTTGCTTCCAACTTTCTCATTTCAATCACAAACAATTCTGAATGCATCTTGATTACATATTTGATCAATTTCAGACCGACAGCATTGGTAGAATTCTCCTATGTCTTCATCACTAGCTTTGATGGCTGGTGTATAAATTTGAATAATAGTTTCATTGACTGGATTTCCTTGAAGGCAGGGAGATGTTATCCTACCCTGTTTCCCCAAAAATAAGATAGTGTCTTATATTAATTTTTGCTCCCAAAGATGCACTAGGCCTTATTTTCAGGGGATGTCTTATTTTTTCCATGAAGAAGAATATAATACACATTTATTGTTTATTGTTTTATTAAAAGAGACCTCGCACTTCCTGTCTGCTCGGCTGCACTGCAGCCAACAGTGAGCTGCACGGCGGTGCCCGCCGCTATGGTCCAGAATCCAGAGTTATAGTAGCTTCAGGGGGCCTTATTTTTGGGGAGGTCTTATTTTCAAGGGGATGCCTTATATTTCAGCAAGAGGCAAAACTGTAAGTAGGTCTTATTTTCGGGGATGTCTTACTTTTGGGGAAACAGACAGCAGACAGCATTGTACTACTGTACTTCATGATAGATCTTGAAATGTCCCTTCTGACAGTGAATGCCACACTATTCTTCTAGATTGTGTCATTGTTTGGCATAGTAAACCGTATGATTTTCTGATTCAAATGGCCAATACCAGTACCAATTGAGCTCGCTAATGCCTAGAATATCAATCCTTATGCATTCAATTTCATTTTTGCCAACTTCCTATTTTCCTATATTCATACTTCCTACATTCCATGTTCTGATTACTATCTTTTTGCAGGTATTTGTTCAGACCGTGAGTGGGGCACCATCAGCAAATGTAGATCTAGAAGGTTCCATTCCCACAGGCTTTTCTCCATTCATGTCACCACAGTTGATTCTACTTTGAGAAAGCAGTTCTTCATCAGTCATTTTACAGTGCCTTCAGATTCAAGGGCCCCGTCCTCAGCACTATCTCTGATAATGTCTCCATGTGACGCATAAGATTTTCAGCAGCTACTTCCTCTGCAACTGATTCATTCTTCCATTTGTCCTTCGGTTTGTCATACATGGTGGCTTCTGTGTGGCTATGATCTGGAAGCTATGTCACTGGTATTTCAAATGCCAGCAGGGTCATACAAAGTGAACAGGTTTCAATGGAGTTTTCAGACTCAGAATAGACTATAAAGAAGGAACCAGTAACTAGTACATGTTAAATATGTAAGAGGAACTCAGTATACTTAATTGTTACTGGTTATAAATAATTTTATAGGATATATTGAATATCATTTCAATTTTTTTTATTTCAGGTCCCGCTCTATCATGGAGTCTGAAATGATTTGCAATGTCAACGGACTTTTAATATATAAAGATTTTGTCATAAATTGGGATCAAGTGCAGGCTTTCCAGGCAAGGCCAGATGATCTTGTTATTGCCACCTATCCCAAATCTGGTAAGTTCTCTTGAACTTTGTCCTTTTTGAACTTAAAATGATAAACCCACCTTCAGTGATATAATTATAAGGAGTTATCTTACATATTCATTTTCTATCTAATTTCCCAAATTAAATAAATACTGGGTCCTTCTGATATCAGCATAGGAAAGAGGCATATTATCCTACTTTTTCATACACACAGTCTATACTTTTAATTTGAAAGCACTTTGATGTATATTGCTGGCCAAATTAGAAATACACACAATACATATGGAAGAATAGACAAGGATACCACATCTAGTAAAACTCTTTTGAAGGTCATCCATGGTGTGGCAGTGCATTGATAGGGAGCTGCCAGAGTTTCAGACTACGTTCAGAAGAGGGCATGGAACCAGGGATACCATTGCATAATCACATGGCTCTTGGCTCAAAGCAGAGAAAACCATAAAGATGTTTACTTTGTTTTATTGATTATGCTATGGCATTGGACTGAGTGGATCATACCAAACTCTGGGTAGCCTTGAGAAGAATGGGAATTCCAGTACGTACATATTGTGCTTCTGTGGAGGATGTGCATGGATCGAGAGGAAGTTGTGAGAACAGAACAAGTAGATACAGCATGGTTTAAAATCAGGAAAGGTGTTGGTGTCGGGGTTGTATCCTCTCACCATAATTATTAAATCTGCATGCTGACCAAATAATCAGAGGCTGGATTATATGAAGAGGTATGTGTCATCAGGATAGAGAGGACTATTAGCCACCTGAAATATGCAGATTATACAACCTTGCTAACAAAGGGTGGAGGAATTGAAGCACTTGATGATGAAGTTCAAGTATTGTAGCCTTCAGTCTGGATTATAATTTAATGTAAAGAATACCAAAATTCTCACAACTGGAGCAAGAGGTAACAACATGATAAATGGAGAAAAGACTGAAGCTGTCAAAGATCTTTGTCTTGCTTGGATCCACATTCAGTGCTCATGGAAGCAACAGTCAAGAGACCAAAAGATGTGTTGGATCAGGTCAATTTCTTGCACCAGTCCTCTTTCTTACTCCCTGCCATTGAGCCAATACCAACTCACACAGACCTTCTACGTAAACGTTTTCTGGGTTTCTGAGATTGGAACTCTTTACAGATATAAAAAACGTCATCTTTCTCCTGAAGACCACTTTAGAGTATTGAAAATCATGGATGTTATGTTGAGGAATCAAGTGTGCATGCCCTAAGCCATGGTATTTTTAATACTCTCACATCTTGGGAAAGTTGGACTTTGATAGGAAGGCCGAGGAACAATTGATGCATTTGCACTGTGAGGCTAGAAAAGGTATTGAGCCTGAGACTACCATGGGCTCCTAGAACTACAAACAGGTTGGTCTTAGAAGAAATACGGTCAGAGTATATCTCATATGTAGACTTAGAAGTACAACAAGAGTATACCATATATACACGCACACACACACCAGAGTTTAACCTGTATATTGGGGGCAAGGATGGCAAGACTTTATCTCACTTACTGTGGACATGTCGCAAGGAGAGAGCAGTCCCTAGAGAAGGGCATCGTGCTTGGTAAAGTAGAGGGGTTGTAAAAGAGAGATTGACACAGTGACTGAAACAATGGGCTCGCGCATAAGCGCAATTGTGAGTATTATGCAAGACTGGGCAGGGTTTTGTTCTGTTGTGCATAGAGTTGTTATGGGGGCGAACCGACTCATGGCACCTAACAGAAGCAACACAGAAACTTAACTGTAATCTAAAACAACAATTGGAACTAAGCATTTTGTATGGCTTACGTTCTTGTGATCTTTATAGGATATATAATATATTTATGCACTTTTTCAAGTATTTAAAAACTTTTCACTAATTGTTCATCTTTAGATGTACTACAAGGCTCTATTTTAAAGAAAACCTTAAAAAAGATTAGCTAACTTTAAATTACACTTCAGAGTGTCATAAAATTATAGATATGTAGAAATTAAAAGGGTCCAATCCAGATTTCTATATTTAGTTATTCCATTAGCACTGAAAGATAAATGTGCAAATATTGCATTCATTGTGTAGAGGAAGGTCCTTTACCTTTTGTTCCCAACTAAAAGATTTGCAGTTTTACTTCAGACAGTGATGCTGTGAAACCAAGTCTGGGTGATATGCTTCCATAAAAGTGTGTGATAATGAGGTGTCGATGGGATCAGGTATCAGGCATCAAAGACCCCAAACAAAACAAACAAAAATTATATCAATGGGAATGAGGGGGAGGGCAGAGTGGAAACCCAAAGCCCGTCAGTAGTCAGTTGGACACCCCTCTGTCAGAATGGCCACAAGGAAGAGAAGAGCCAGTCCAGGTACAGTAGAGCACCGATGAAACACACCACCTCCCTCTGGTTCTTTCATGCTTCCTCCCCAGCACCCAGCCCCACTCTCATGACCTCAATTCTATCTTACAAATCTGGCTAGGCCAGAACATGTACACTGTTACAGATAAGAGCTCAAAACACAGGGAATCCAGAACAGATAAACCGCTCAGGACCAATTAGGGAAGTGACAATACTACGAGGGTTAGGGAAGGTGGGGAGTAAGAGGGAACTTATTACAATGATCGATGGATAGCCCCCATCCCAGGGGGTGCAGAGAGCAGCAAAGAGGGTGAAATGAGACAGAAGTCGGTGTAAAACATGGGGGGAAAAAAGAATGGTTTATAAATTATCAAGGGGGCATGGGGGGGGGCGGGAAACAGGGGAAATGAGGAGCTGATGCCAGGGACTCAAGTAGAAAGAAAAGGTTTTGAAAAAGATGATGACAACATATGTACAGATATGTTTGACAAAATGGATATATGTATGGATTGTGATAAGAGCTGTAAGAGCCCCAATAAAATAAAATAAAAATACAAAGATTACAAGTGAAAAAAACCCTACATGTCAGTTATTTTCTATGAGTTGGGATTCCAGAGCAGTTGATACACCCTTCTCAAGTATATCTGCCCCTGGATTTCTTTAAAAAAAAAAAAAGATAGCTCTTATCCATAATGGAAATTCTTCATGTCTCATATGACTTGTGAATGTATATCACTATGAGAATGCAAGGCTTAGTTCAATTATTTTGCATTCTTGTAGGCAGTCCAAAAGTTACAGCAGCTGCAGAAGCATCAGACTAAGGTATATGTTCTTATTTTGCCAGCCTTTAAATATTTGTGTCAACCTATATTATAACACCTTGAGAAGAAAATGTAATTGCTGGGCATATTATGATTCATCAAAAGGCCTACGGTCACCTTACAGCAGTGATATTATGTTCTATATCTTCTATATACTGTACTTGAATGCACAATCAATAGTCATGAGAACAGCAGGCAATAAAGCAAACAACATATCGCCTCGGCAATTATGCTGCAAAACACGTCTCTGTATTTTAGAGCTAAGATGTTATTTTGAAAGCTAAGGTGAGCCTGACCCAAGCCACGGTATTTTTAATTGCCTCATCTGTGTTCAAAAAGTAGACAATAAATAAGAAAGACCAGAGATTAAGTGATGCAGTTGAATTATAATGTTGGCAAAGAATATTGGCCATCCCGTGGACTGCCAGAAGAACGACAGCTAGAAAAGAAATATTTCTTAGAATATTATTCCATAGAAATAGCATTCCTTAGAAAATTCCATAGTTGGATTATTCCATCAGAACGGCCTAGTTCCTAGAGGGACCTGATACTGAGCAAAGGAAAAGGTCAGAGGAAAGTACAAAGAGCCCAGTAAGGCGTTTACAGAGTGGCTGCAAAAATAGGCTCAACCGTTGTGAGGATGCTACAGGACTGGACAGCAATTCGTATTCTTGCAAATAAAGTCACAAGGACTCGGGACCAACTCAATGACACTTAAGCACACCTCCATGCGGTTCGAAGTAGGACGCAATCTGAGATGGCAGAGACGCGCGGTAAATTTTGTGATCACAAGCATGCTTGAGTACCTCACTTATTCTTAAGGATTACCTCCTTTTTAGATGCAAAAGTTAAATCTACAACTCTTAGCAGTTTGCTGAATGTCATAATTCTTTCTGGGCAAATTTCTTTCCCAGGTGTGTCTTGTTACAATAGCCATCCTTACATACGGAGGCTGTTTGGGAGTTGGTTAATTAATGTTTGAGAGGTCTATTGTTTCGCCCAGCTACCCAGACCCTCTTCAAATGCATTTGTACCTTCAAATAACCTTGCGCTGGTGTCTTCCTAAATTACCTATCTATTAATTCAGCGTGCCGACCCTTCGCTGTGCCCAACCAAGGAGCTTTTCATAGCATGTCTGCTTACTTTTTACAGGTACAACCTGGATTAGTGAAATTATAGATGTGATTTATAAAGATGGTAATTTGGAAAAGTGCAACGAAGATTTCATTTTTAATCGAGTGCCTTTTCTGGAATGCAAAAAGGATGAGGTCTTAGATGGTAATGTTCAAGCTCATTTTAAAAGCTATATGCATATGTTTTAAGGTATTTGTATAACTATTTCACGAAATGAGATTGTAAGCAAAGGTGGTAATTAGAACTATGACTTCTATATAAGAGATCGGATTCATTTAAGTTTATACCTTTATACTTCTTCAGTGACTAAGATGTGAGCATTTTAGGACTGAACTTCATAATACTTTGTTTGAAACAAGCCTGTATTTTGCTCAAGACTGCAAGTTCGCTTCAGTTTTGTTTTTCCTCGTTTCATAGCCCCTCAGACCAAAGTTTTGATCTAATGGGAACGAAAACCGTAGGATTTTTAAGGCTGGGCACTTCCTCTCCCTTTTTAAAAAAAAATTCAACTTTATTTATTTATTTTGGCCTTTATTGATTTAAGTGGTTTACTTTTCCAGTTCCTTGGTGGAATGTGCGAATGACAAAGAACAGCATATTCGATACAGTTTCACAGCCCGTCTCCCCCTCCCCTCGCCCGCCAGGATCAGTGATGCATTACACTCCGCCATCGACGCCATCGACGCCATCCACGCAGCCACAGTCCCCACCCTCCAGTCCTTCCCGGGGGATTCCTGTTCCCCACCTCTCCCCAGTCCCTCTTTCTTTTTATTTATTTATATTTTTGTTTATTGGCATATAATTCACAAATTATACAATTCAATAGTTCAATCACATTAAGAAGAGTTGTACAATCACCACAATCACAACCCTGTCGTACATCCAAGGATTCATTCTTCCAGTTACTGCCTAGATAGATTTACTTATCCTGGATTTCATAGACAGAAAAAAAATTTTTTTCAAGAAAGCAACAACCACAAACCTAACACCAATAACAAAGAAAAACAGAAAAATATCCGTTGAAAGTCTTATTCTTCTATGTGGAAACCATTTTTCTTTTTCTTTATAATCATGGTTTCATAAAATATTTATCTTTATTAAATTGACAAACCTTACTAAGCATAGTGTTCTCTAATTTTGTCCATGCCTTAATGGATTTGACATACTTGTGATTGGTTTTACTGATGAATAATATTCCGATGAATAAATGTAGTACTTTGTTTATCCAGTCTTCTATAGCAGCAGTTCTCAACCTGTGGGTCGCGACCCCTTTGAGGGTCGAATGACCCTTTCACAGGGGCTGCCTAATTCATAACAAAATTACAGTTATGAAGTAGCAACAGAAATAATTTTATGGTTGGGGGTGTTATCACACGTGAGGAACTGTATTAAAGGGTCGCGGCACTAGTAAGGTTGAGAACCACTGTTCTATAGTCAGAGTTTTTAATGTTTTAATCTTTTTGCTATTATGGAAATTGCTGTACTAATGTAAGTGTGCACATGTCTTTCATGTTTTGTTCTTAATTTATTTGGGGTATATAACTAAAGAAGCTAGGAACTTCATAAAATTTTAGATATGGAAAAATTACATTACATTTTCAAAGGTATATGAAAAAGGATATCTTAGATCATTTTACTATTGTGAAAAATTTATAGCAACTTAAAACTTGATCAATATAAGGATAGTTAAATGTGATACAAGAATACTGTGAACTAAATTTTTGATATGATCTGTGCTTCATGATATTGGCTTGTATGAAATATATTGAGGCAAATAGAATGTATTAAAAAATCCCATCTGTGTATATGATATTGGCGTGTCTATGAGTCAGGGTCTATAGATATATATATATGGAAGACTGCTCACCAAAATGTTAACAATTATTATTCTCAAAAATAGGAAAAATACTATTTGATATTTTTCTCTAGAATTTATCTATAATATTTTATAAGCATGTACTGTTATTGGTAACAATTGAGTCTATTATATGTAAGTTTGTGTAAATGTTTATCATTTTTAAAGTTGTCTAACATTTGTTCTCTTTCTTTAAATCAGGAGTAAAACAGCTAAACCACATGGCATCTCCTAGGTTAGTGAAAACTCATCTGCCAGTTGAGTATCTTCCTGTCTCATTTTGGGAAAAGAACTGCAAGGTAACCAGAGTTAAGTGTTCCTAGAATGTTATCTAACTCAAAGAAAGTTGAGAATAATCAAGTGAGTTAAGAAAGTCTTAAATGTGCCCCATGCACACTGGTGTAGTTATTCTTTCATTAATTAAATGGGAATTTAATACATATGGATTATAGTCTGTTTAATTTGCAAATCTGGATTTTAATTATAGCTCTTCTATTTATCATTAATGATTCTGAGAAAGTTAGTTTAACTCTCTAAGCCCCAGTTTCCTCATCAGTAAAAGAGGGAAAATAATAGCATCCTGTCCTTAGAATTGTTATAAAAGTCAAATGACATAATACTTGTGAAATGCTCAACATAGTGCCTAACATATTTCAAACATACCATCAATGATAGCTGTGCTTGTTTTTGCTGTATTTGTTGCATGCCCTCTTTTTACAAAATATGGTTTTTGGTCTTTGGGGGCAAATAAATTGGACATGGGGACAGGAAAAGGATCTTAAGTAACTCAGAGTACAGTAGGGAAGATATAGATGTATAAATCTGTAATACAATTTGTACCTACATATAACGTTTATTGAATATCTATTGTGTGGAGTATAACAATTTACATGGCACACAACTTCGTGGTCCTCAGAGGCACATCATCTATTGAAGGAATGGGATAAGTAAACAGATAAAATCGTGCATGCTATAAGTCTCTTATTGAGTGCTGCTGGTGTAGTAGGTTATCCGTTGAACTGCTAAGGTCATCAGTTCTAAACCATCTATTCCACAGAAGAAAGATGAAGCTTTCTACTGCTGTAGAGATTCACATCTCAGAAACCCATAGGGCAGTTTCCGTGTCCTATAGGGTCTCTATGAGTGGGAATATCGACTCGATGGCAGTGAAAGTGTAGGTCTCTTGCTAACTACAGGACTGGAATTTCAAACTTACACTCACTACCTGCTTAGTGGGAGAGAGATGAGGTTTGTCCCTATAAAGATTCACAGCCTAAGAAGTTCTATATAGGGTTGATGGTAGTGGGTTTGGTTTATAAGTCTCTGGGAGCCCTAGTGGCACAGTGGTTAAGTAGTTGGCTAACAAAAGGTCAGCATTTCAAACACGACAGCTGCTCCTTGGAAGCAAGATAAGGCAGTGCATTCCTGGACAGAAACCCTATGGGTTAATTGTGCTCTGACCTACAGGATTGTAATGTTTAGGAATCCACTCAATGGCAACTTTTAAAAAAATAAGTCTTTTACATCCATTAATAAGAGGAAGTCTGTAATCCACCAACTGTTGAAAAGGAAGGTATTGAGAAGCAAGCAATAATACCTTGGCTAATATTTGAAGCACACATGGGAATTCATTTTTGTCACATAGAAGCAATTAGCAATTAAACTGAAAGTTTGTGTACACTCCCTAAAATGACTGTGCATTATGGTTGTATTTGAAAACATAAATGCCCTATTTTTAAAACTTTAGGAGGCCATTTTTAGAAAAAGAAAAAATTACATATGCATTTTATATATGCTTTCATCCTCTTAGATGATCTATCTTTGCCGGAACGCTAAAGACGTGGCTGTGTCTTACTATTATTTCCATCTGATGGCCGCCGGTCATCCCAATCCTGGAACATTTCCAGAGTTTGTGGAGAAATTCATGGATGGGGATGGTAAGGACAGCTGTGTTTCTTTGTAATCTGTCTAGATGAGTGATTCATAATTCAATATAATTGATCTGATTGCATTTCCTTCAGATAAATATTATTTAAGACAGCATTTTTGTTGTACATCTGATGTTATCTTCTCTGATTTTTAAATAAAGCACAGTTTTAGTAACTATAGGGATTTCAGATATGAAGAGCAAATTACAGAATCTGGACAGTCTAGCCAAACAGTTAAAAATAAATACACATGTAGAATATTGTTGGGAGTTAGAGAGAGTTTTTGTTAGTTAGTTTTTAAGATAGAAACTACTTGGCCCATTCTCCCTTGTCTCTATTCATTATAAAATGTTTATAATGTGCCATTATAGTTCCATTGAACAGAGGAGAAAAGAAAATAGGAGACTGTCTGCTTCCAACGAGGATGCCAGGTGCTTCCCTCCATCATTCTCACTAACAGAACTTAGTGAGGGCATTTGAAAACACAAATGCCCTCTTGTTAAAACGTGATGACGCAATTTTGTGGTGGGGAAGAAAAGCATAGGTATTGTTTTACAATTCCATTCTCTTAGGATGATCTTTGCTGGGATGCCAAGGATATGTTGTTGCTAGGTGCCATTGAGTTGGTTCCAATCCACATGACCCAATGCACCATGGAAGAAACACTGCCCAAATCTTGCGACATTCTCTCAATTGTTTCTCTGCCTGATCCTGCTGCTGTAGCCACTACGTCAATGCATCTGCTAGAGGGCCTTCCTCTGCTGCTCCTCCACTTTACCAAGTATGGTGTCTTTCAAAGAAATGAATGTGTCTTATTGTTTTTCCATCTCATGGCACCTGCTCATTCAAACTCCAGATTTTCAGAAGTAAATCACCAGCCTTTCTTCTGAGAACTCAAACTTCCACCCCTTTAGCCGCTGAATGCCTAACCATTTGAACCACCCAGGGCCTCCAACCTTCGCCTAAAACATTTGAGACTGAAGGACAAAATAGTGTTGGAGTTTCCTATTCAACACACACACACCAAGATTATTCTAATCCAATCACAATGATTTTTTTTTCACAATGATTTTTAAAATAATTTCATTAATGGTATTTTTATCTTTAGAACATGTTACCCAACACAAGAAGATATTACCCAACAAAACACATGTTTGGTGTTTGGTGCTACAATTTGGAAAAACACAATGCTGAAGATCTAAGAATACTGCATCAGCCTGAAAATAAATGTCCCACATAGTAGGGAAGAAAAAAAATATAATGTTGCACTTTTATAAAAGGATTCAGTTAGATAATTATAACTGTGATTATAAAACATTTTGTTTCAAGAAAAAAATGCCTAAAACAGTAAAACATTCACTGTGGTTACAATGGCTTATTATAAAGCAACATTTATTGATTCACTCATCATCATTTTTATTTGGCCAGTCTTTTATTTAGAAAAAGACACAGATGGATGCAAACAGACAAGAGAAGAGAAAGGACAACACTTGGTTATATCACATCATCTCCAAAAGTCTTCTAATTTTCCATTTTATAAGTCTCTAAGAGATTAATAGCCCTTACATCTAAACTTATGAAAGCATAATACTTTTTTTTAAAAGCATATAGTAATTCATTGTTATTGGTAGAGTTAGCTTGGAAGTGACTAATTAGAAATTTGGACTTATGTCTTCTGATGTTATGGCCTTTGATAATTCTGCTATCTAAACTCCCTTCCCTAAAAACCTGATCGCTCTAGCCTCCTGCCCCTCCTCACTTCCCCCTCCCTCCGCTTTCTCTCTCTTGCACCAGTTTCCAAATAATGTTTTCCTAGCTTCTGAATCAAATCAGTGAAAAGTCAACTTCCGCTACTTCTCTGTACCACAAGCTGTATCATAATGCTGGGAAGTTGAGAATATGTTTCTGAACATGGATTTTCCAAGCCAATACTTTCTTTGGTCTGAGTTACTGACTCCCTTCAAGTTGTCATTGACATATATCCATTTGTTGCTACTGTTATGAAGATGTATACAGATAACACTATGCTCTAACATTTTTCCCCTGTAATTTTAGTTCCTTATGGTTCCTGGTATAAACATGTAAAATCCTGGTGGGAAAAGAGGGATAACCCCAATGTACTATTTCTGCTCTACGAAGATTTGCAAAAGGTAAGAACTTTCAAAAATACTCAAATTAATAATTTCTAAGATGTCACCACTTGGTGAGATTTTAGATATCAAAATCTGACTTTTTATTGTTAATTGCAATTATTTTATTGACATGATTCCCACACCATACAATGCAAAGGTTTAAATATATTAAAAGTTTTGTGCATCACCACATCAATTTTAGAACATTCTCTTCATTCTTATACTCATTATTTTCAGCTCTCCACCCCCTTTGTGGTAGCTAGTGGTGCTAACCTTGAGGTTAACAACACAACATGTACACTACCATAGTTCTTGAGAATATGAAACGGCTAAAATTAATAAAATAGATTAAAAGCAAAAAGTAAACATAAAACACATGCAAAAATCAGTCAAATAAAAGTTCTAAGATTTTTAAAGTGAGAAAATCAAGATACAACTTAAATAACAAATAGCATGTCAAAATTTAAAATTCTGACAACATCAAATATTTAGTAAGTATACGTATCAGTGAGACATAGCACACTGTTGATAGGCATGTAAAGAGATAAAACCCTAATGAAAATAGCTTGTCATTATACATATATTTTGTGGACCCGAAATTTCACTCTTATGTATATATACTCCAGAGAAATTCTGACTTGTATATATCAGGTTTTATCTATGATGTACATTATCCATATCCACCAAGCTAGAAAACAATCCAAACATGCATCTAGTGAGGGTTGAGTTCTTTTTTTTTATGCTTGTCTGTTGGATATGCATGTGTATCAGCAAAAACTTTGCAAAAATAAGATAAGCAAACCCAAAATTAGAGAGAAATAGGTGTATAACATGAATATCCTGTGGAATAACCTGTGCTAATTGTGAGTCCTGGTAATTTTTTTATTGGTCATTTTATTGAATTCCTAATGCAATCTGTAGGCTTACAATGGAATACTTTGCCAAGAATGATGTCTTTTTCTGGAACTAGTCTCTCCCAACAACATGTCCAAAATTTGTGAGATAAAGTTTTGCCATTCTGGTTTCTAAAGAGCATTCTGGCTTCACTTCTTAAAAGAAATATTTATCTATTCTTTTAACAGTACATGGTATTTTTCAATATTCTGCACCAGCACCATAATTACAATTATTTTTCTTGCCTTATCCTTATTCAGTGTTCAACTTTCACATGCATAGAAAGCACTGAAAACATCATAACTTGGGTCAGGAATACTTTAGTCCTCAGAGTAACATACTTGCCTTTTAAAACTTTAAAGAGGTCTTGTGCAGCATATTTGCCCAAGCCAATACATCATTTGATCTCTCTTTTTTTTAAATTAAAAGATCATTTTACTGAGGGTTCTTATAACTCTTATTACAATCCATACATCAACTGTATCAGGCATGTTTGTACATATGTTGCCATCGTTCTTTTCTAGACATTTACTTTCTATTGAGTCCTTGGTATCAGCTCCTCTTTTCCCCCCTCCCTCCCACCCCCACCCTCATGTTCTCGTGATAGATTATAAATTATTATTATTTGCATATCTCACACCGACCACTGTCTCCCACCCCCTATGGTTTATTGTTTTCTGTTGTTCTTCTTCCTGGAAGGGGGATGTGTCGATCATTGGGATCAGTTTCCCCTTCCACCCCACCTCTCCCCCTCTTCCCCCTAACTTTCTGGTATCATTATTCCCATTCCTGTTCCTGGATTGTGTGTGTCATGAGCTTTTATCTCTTATCTGTACCTGTGCACATGCTCCTGTCTAGTGCAGAGTGAGAACCAGCACTAGAGTCATGATAGTGGGGGATGAGGAAGTGTTAGGTAGTTAGAAGAGGGATGAAAGTGTCCAATGGGCATGCTCAGAAATTTGAGTTCCTGCCCAGGAAGGGGTGGCACACCTAGGTGGGTGGTACACCTGGATTGGCTCATCTGGGCCAGGTGAATTTCATTCAGCCAATGGGGTCAACCAGTATCATCCACCACACCTCCCAATGCAGGGCCTTCAAAACGCCAGAAGTTTTCGCTCGCTCTCAGGGGTTCTCCCAACGGCTGCTATGCAGCTCAGCATGTTGTGCCTTGGTCCCACGCAGCCGTGTCCCGTTTACTGTAAGACGTGAAACTGCTTCTATCCTTTATACGACTCATTTGGATTACAAACCAGGCTTTGGCATGAATTCTTTCTCGTGGGAAGCCAAGGACCAAGGTGTTTCCCACCTGGGGAAACCTAACAGAAGCCTCAAGGAACCAGGGGAAATATTGTGTGTTCCATTGTTGCTTTACTGCACCCTGGTTGACTCATCCCTTCCCTGACACCCCTCTGTGGGGGGATGTTCCACTGTCTATAGATGGGCTTTGGGTCTCTGCTCGGACCCCCCCTCATTCTCAATAATATGGTTTTGTTTGTTTGTTTGTTATGGATCTTCTGATGCCTGTTACCCCATCCCGCTGACACCTCATGTTCACCCCTGCTTGTGTGTGTCTTCCATGTGGGCTTGTTGCTCCACTGCTGGATGGCCACTTCTTAACTTCAAGCCTTTAAGACTCCTGATGTTATATCTTTTAATAACTGGGCACTATCCACTTTCTTCACCACATTTTCTTATGCACCCATTTTGTCTTCAGCGATTGTGCCAGGTGGGGGGTGGGGGAGGGGGTGGAAGGTGATGAACATCACAAAATGCCAGTTAGAACAAAGTGTTCTTACATTGAGCAAGGGTACAAGCTGAGGCCCAAGGTCCATCCACAACCTCAGTGTATTGCCGCATAAATATATGTACATAGGCCAATACCTCTATTTTTGTGCATTAATGTATTGATATTTGTACACACCTATGCTTATACCTCTATCCATAGCTTTGCTTGCTAGATCATTCTTCTGTTTCCTTTTGCCTTCCTCCTGCCCCACCTTCACATTCCTCCTATTTCCACCTCTTAGTACTTCATCTCAGCTAGATTGCTGTTGCTCCAACATGCATAGGATCTCTACATCCTCCTTGTTGTTAATGTTAATTCCTTAGGTGTTCCCTGTCTATGGCTTTGCTTGTTCACCACACCCTCCCCAGCCTCCTTCTCCCTGCAAAGTCCCTCTGGGGCCATTGGCCCTGTTGCTTTCTCCCCGGGCTTGCTTTCCATGGCTGTCTTATACAAATAGGTAAACCAACAGTGACATATATCAAACAATAAGAAAACAAGATTGAAAAAAAGGAAAAAAAAAAGAGAAAAAGCATACATAATTCCACGTCTGTCTGCTGACCTTTATGACTATCTTCCCCCCTGCTCCTTGGGGAGCTGCCCCTTCTAGCCTAAAGTCAATTTTGGGGGCTCTTTAGGGGCTTCATGGTTTGGCTGTGCTCTAGTAGCTGATCTGTTATGCTCCTTCTTGGTTTGTCTCGCTGCGGGGGGGTTCAGACCACACTACCTCCCTGCCGTGTGTCCCCATTATTGTCCTCTGTGGCAGAATACTCCAGTAAGGGGACAACATGTCATAAGCTATTGTCGGCCCTACAGTCCTCTCCGCACCTTGGCAGCTCCATGCAAGGACATCGTCCCCCAAGCTTGGTGTGCAAATACGTGGTCTACGCTTACTGTCCCTTTCTCTTTGTCCTCCTTGGTTTGCTTCTGTGGGGGCATGACATCGTGGCCCCTTAGCTCCACTGAAGGTTCAGTGTTGGTCTCTGTTGCACATACATCTAGGGCGGGGGTCAGTTTGTCTTTGGTTGCGGTCGGCCCTGTAGCCCAGTCTTTTCCTGCATTCCTCCATGTGGTTTCATTGCCTTCATGGTTTGGTGGGCCATCGTGGGGTCTGTATGCACACTCCCAATTCTGCGGAGACACAACCAATACTCTCCCCCTGGGCGGGTTAGTGCCCGGCTCCCTCCATGCCATCATCTCAGTCCCCCCCCCACCCCCTTTTCTCCCTCCCCCTTTCCCCTTCTTCTTTTTTTAAAAGTTATTTCATTGGGGGCTCGTATAATTCTTATCACAATCCATACATACATCCATTGTGTCAAGCACATATGTACATTTGTTGCCCTCATCATTCTCAAAACATTTGCCTTC